GAGCAATGGGTTTTCCTTTAAATAAATACTGATCAGGTTTATGTTGATAGACAATAGAAAACGTAGCCCAGATATGCAGTTTACAGTATTTATAGCTGTAATATCGCAGTGCCATCTCCGTAATTTCATGCCCCAATGAGAATGGCAAGGTCAAAGCAAATGCTTCGACTGAGCATCTGCTAATATGGTGACTCATAAACAGGCTCTGCGTGTATCAGGTGCAGCAAATAATACAGTATAATGAAATACAGAATAGCTTTCCATTATTGTTCTTTTTTATGGTGTCGTCATTAGATGTAATTTATGTCTAAAAAAAAAATTCATCTACCGGCAGGTCGATCTGAAATGGAGGTCCGAGGGGTCATTCCACAGGTTTTGGAAACTGTAATAAATTTCGTGTTTCCTTTTTGTGTCCTTTTCCTTTTATATGTAAAATTCACTCTTGTTGTCCTTCTTTTAAATTGGATCTCAAAGGTCTTTCATTTGTCGTCCCATTTTCTTTGTAATAAAGGCATCAGAGGAGACAAAACAGCTGAGTGAGTCCGAAAACCCGAAAGAAAAGCAAACGCGTTAATGAATTTGCATGCATCTTATTCGGATGTGCGCCGGACCCCTTTGTAGTTGCGCGGGGGGTGCTACTTTAAAATTAAAATGACGTTACGAATATGTTTGTTCATTACGTCCTTAGAAAACGACCCCCTCGTTCTGAGGTGAACTCACGAAAACGTGAACTTCCTGATAGCGTCTTTACGGCGAGGTGAGTGGGAGGAAATGAGAGGGGGGCCTCCAAGTCTCATTCAATAGTCTGCCACCATGCAGTCTGGTGTGGTCAGATGAATAGGGAGTCCAGGGACACATTATTGCTTATTGGACAGTACAGGCTGACTGCATCAGCTCAGCACATGGCCATGGCTGCTTCCTGGCACTTTGAATGCCATGCAAGACAGGATGACCAATATTTGCCTTAAATTATTCAACATTTTTCAGGGTCATTTCAACCCCCACAGAACCTGCCCTCCTTTTAACTTTGACCTCAACCTAGAGATTCCTGCAAGAGAGGTAAAATCAGCTACATGGGTCTGGGTGGTATAAATTTTGTTAATGTCATTCTTGACAAGTAAGGGACAACATGGTTATATGAAGAGAGATCTGTGTCATAAATTTGGATGTTAACGTTTTGCTGCTGTGGAAGAGGAAACTGTATGATTTAGAGCTGTTTTTTTAATGAGGTGGTGTTTGAAAGAAGTCTTTTATGCTCACCAAAAATACAGAAACATTTTGTTACAATTTAACCATTTTCTGTTTTATTGTATTATAAAATCTAATTTATTTCTGTAATGGCAAAGCTATTTTCATCAGCCATTACTCCAGTCTTTAGTGTCACATGATTCTTCAGAAATCATTCAAATATGCCTTTTTTGTAATCAACTTTTTATTGTCTGTCAAATATAAGCAAAAGAACATCATTAGAACAAACAATCAAGGAAGGATGAATAACAGACATATTATAAATAATTGTACAGTCAAAGAAAAGCAAGAAATAAAAAAATAAGAAAAAAATTAAATAAACAATTAAATTAAAAAAGAATAAAAATAAATGTTAATAAAAGATAAATAAAAACTAATATGCATATGATTTGGTGATCAGTCATGTTTTATAAAGGCCACTTTTTGGCTGTAGCCATTATTTTTGTTATGGATATAAACATGATTTTTCATAATATACTTTTTTTTTTATTTTTTTTTTTTACTCTGGACAACAAGCTTTTTTTTTTGCTATCTATATTTGCACTCTCCCCACTACATTTTTTTCCATGATATCTTTGTGTCATAAAGAAATGTATTTCTGTTTTTTTTTTTTGTATTAAACATTAACTTTTCTTAAAAAAAGGTTACATTTTTACATGATTAATTGCTGTAATTAAACTCTCACACAGTTATAAATTGAAACTTTTACTGGAAATCCATGAAACGCAGCAATAAAATGGTGCGATAAACCATGCATCCCTACCTCTGCTGCGTTTGTGTGCTCCTGTATTGTTTTGCAGTGTTGTTAGTGTGGCTCTATGAAGTGTGACTGTGATTTCATACCCAGCAGACAGGGCTGAACAGGCTCAGACTCTGTTCTCTGCCAAGCTCCCAGCTCTCTCCGCTCTATTTAAGCACATGTGGCACTGGCATTTGCCACATTTATGATGTGTGTATTACAGCGCAAAAACAGCTTGCTGTCTGCTCTTTAAACAGCTCAATTTGGAGCAAAGCTCAGCCTTTTGGCTCTCTGGCAGGCAGCCGTACCGTATGAAAGCATGTGGAATAGAGTAGCGCAATGCCCAAGGGGATATCTCCAGTAAACAGAGCAAGAGCGCGCGCGAGAGAGACTAAATACGCAATGACAGACGTGACACACTCCAGTCTACTGTGGACAAACAAAGGTCAGAGGGAGTGTGTGCGTGTTGCAGGATACAGTAGATTTATTAAACTGATATGTGTAACTTACAGTTTAATAGAAACTGGAGCCTTTTTAAACCATTGGCTCTAAATGGAGATGTTAAAGCATTTGGGTTTTATGTGCCAATTGTAGAGGAAGCCCATAATGTTTTCCCTCTTTTATGTCTTCATTAAATGTCAAAGCACAAGTACATTCGACTAACAGGCTTTTTCCGCCTCTGTCTTCCTTTTCCCACTATTTCTCCGAGCTGTTGTTGCCGTCTACTCCATCGCCGCTCTGTTTAGCCCCGCATAGAGTCACTTAATCAAGACAAGACGCAGACCAATGACTGCGTGCAGTGTTGGAAATAAACCAGCTTTTTTTCCACAAAAGGAAATATTAATATTAGATTTTTTTTCCCTCTCCTGTCATTTTCCATCAGGGACCTCTATGCAATTTAATCACCACTAAAATCATTAAAAAAGATCTGAAGATTAAATTATATTGGCATTTGCAAAATTATGTAATACATTTACATTACAATGAAGAAATTAAAATAATGCATTTTATCTGTGTGGGGTTCCGCTGAGCTCTACCTGGGGAAATATAGCAGCAGGAAATGGACAGGCTCTGTTCTTGAGATCTGACTGTAATGGAGAAGAGCTCAGAGCTTTGGACCTCCAGAGCTGCTTCTCCTGGTATATATCTGCCGCCTATAGTGCTATTAACCTAGTTTAGCGAGAGTTTTAAAGTTTAGATCTATTTGCAGGTTCCAAAGGACAGTCAAGGACACACTTCAACACAATATATCACCATTTTTCCTCTCATATTACACTGTTTTTCAAGTAATTTCTGGAGTTTTCAGACATTTTCATTCAATAGAATTGTGCCTTCAATCTTGTGAGTGACAAGGCACTGATTCTTGAGTTCTCAGAGATGAAAGGTTACAAATAATTTTGGAACAATCTGTTCAGGTTTCACCAACGTTTTTACCTGAAGTGTTTTCCTTTGCCTATCACTCAGTATCAGTCAACACCGTCAGATACAAAAGTAATGTCAAGTATTTAATACAAATATTTATTAGCTAGGCTACTTCAAATGAGGAAGGTTTTCTAAAAATACCTAACTGTTTCTTTACACCTCGAGTAATACATGGCCACATATTAATAAATACACAATAAATGCACAATTACTTTATAAAATATATAAATTACATAAGAATTTACTTGATTTTTTTTTTTTGCTAAATATGTTGATGTGTTTAATGTCATACCACCTTCTCTCCATGTAGGTCTGACAGATGAGGAGGTTGATCTGGCCATCCAGCGGTCCGGTAGTACAGAGGAGCCGCTCACTGTAGCTGTTCCCGGGCCCGCGCACATCGCTCACCCTGTTCCACTGGCCCCATACAGTGAGTATTACCACAGTCGTTTTTACTAGGATAGGGGGTCTACCCTATAACCCTTCCACTTGGCCACCCGCTGTATGTTTTTGCAGCCCATGTGCTCCTTAAACATGACTCTAGTCTAGTCTAGTAGATTTTCTCTACCAAATGGTGCGTGACTATATGAAATCCTCCAATGTCCTCTGTGCTCCCGTAATCTTGTTTAAACCTTCGCCCGTACATCAGTTCAAAACAGGCCAACTGTGTGGAATACCTTGGAATATTGTGCTGATATTTTTATAAGCGTCCGAACATAACTATTATCTTAGACGAGTGGTTTTCAAAGGAAATGAGTGGCATTGAGCATCCCATTTGCGTAGGCATGTAATTAATTCTGGCACGGCCTTGCGTTATGATTTCCACACCGTTACGACGATCTCTGGTTGGTTGGCCCACCGAGGGCCTTTCTGCAGCCTGTATCTTTATTACCTCTGCGGGTTATGAGCTCCAGGCCGGCCGCTGATTTACCAATCCTGAATGAAGTTCGCATAATGCTTAACCTGTATGACAATGATTCCAGATGTATTCCACCCTCATTTATTGCCACCCTGTCCTTGACTCCCCGCCATCTCATGTTTTGTAATGAAAGTGATGTTGATGGGATGGCCATGTAGTTAGGCTTCAGCCTCACTAGAGTGGGGGGTTTTATATCAAAACGGCTATGAGAGAATGGCATAATGAGGGGAGAGTGAGGAGATCTTCGCGGGGGTCAGGTTGGAAAGAGGGGGTCCCTCTCTTTGATGTCCTTGTTATGGGGACGATGCGTCTGGACCCGCATCCATCTCTGTCGGAGTAATGGATACTCTGATCTCTATTTTCAAGCAGCAGAAGGACAGTAGGGCCTTTTCTGAACCCAATAAATTTGAACGGAGATTGGAAAAAAGGGGAATGGAGGCCATGCTCACACCTTAAGTGACCACATAAAAAGCAGGAGTGGAAAGTGGAGGTGGAGGGGCTACCCATGTGGAAGAAGGACCTCCGTTTGGACCTCGAGTTGAAGTAGGAGATCGGTCAGGGCCGCCGGCTAAGCTCAAGGACTCTGAAATCACCCAAGCTGCCATCATGCGTGTCCTGCACGCCATGCCCCCGCAAGGACACTTCGGTTAATGTGGTGTTTACCATTGATACAAAAAGCTAGGTTGTCAGAAGTTCTTAAAATGGAAGTTTTAAGAAGTTGCAGGTTTGCTGATGTTTTTGATGTACTCTTTGGTGTAGATTGTCACCTTCATTCAGCAGAACTGAGCTTCAGTCTTCAGACAGGTTTGATCCTATGAGTGACAAGACACTGATTCTTGAGTATTTCTTAAGGCTGGGACACACCAAGCTGACTTCAAAGAACTAGCGGCGACAAAAGCCTACAGTGTTGTCGCCTTGCATCGGCAGCATCTGGACCAAAAAGCTGTGCTTGAACACACCGTTCAGACTACAGCCATCAATAGTATATATATATATATATATATAAAAATATATATATATATATATATATATAATTTAATTTACACAGTAAAGAATATGCCGTTTTTATGCATTTGATTACTTTGTACAATGTATGTAGCATTTTTATTTATTTGTTCTACTGTATTTTTTGTCCTATTGCTTGTAATTAGTTTCTTTTTGTTTAATCGCTTACTGTTTACTTTCTATGGTATCAAAAATGTTAATATCATAAAGACCTATATCGAGACCTATATTGTATAAATAACTATATTATATTCGATTGTATTGAAATTTATACGGAATGGATCCGTGTACTGTAGTAGATATATGCAGTCTGCAGGCAGTTGGTTTAGTTTTTTTTTTGGGCATCTCCATGTGATCCTGTTCGGTATCGCAACTTGACTTCTCTTGTAATTAGTTTCTTTTTCTTATTTAATCGCTGACTGTTTACTTGTCTTCAGTGAGCTTGAGTTTGTTTTGTTTTTTTATGTTTTGTGATATTGACACTGGTGACAAGAATTATTACATTTCTATGGTATCAAAAATTGAGATATCATAAAGACCTTATTTAAAGGGGTCCTATTATGCTTTTTCACTTTTTGAATTATAATCAGTGCGTAGTGTGTATGTTTTCCGGGTTTTGTGATGTCACAAAGCGGCCCATTAGAATATCATTCCTGCCCACGGAAATTCATATGGTTGGGGTGTGGGGAGGGGCGAGGTTAGAACGCTTGGTTGAGTGCATCAGACAAGACGACGAAGAAGTGCTTCATGTTTTGTAATACGTAAAGTAATTCATAAATATCTATTAAAATTGACAGCAATGCATATTTACAGTATTTTGAATTTCTGAATTTTTGAATTACAATAATGATGAATATTGAAAAACATAATACATACAAAATAAATGTGTGGTAAGTACTGCTGCTCCATAGTATAAAGAGTACATGCGATCGCGAATCTTGAAAGTGAAAGTGAAACTAAAAAGCGTTCGTGCACTCAAAAGCAGTTTCAATGCCAGGCATAATAGCGGCTCCCCGATGCCCGCAATTTATATGGGCCTACAGTATAATTACCCAGTGATATACCCAGGCTCAACATCGTGATGTCTATCAGCCATCGGCGATGGACGATGCCATCGTCTATCGGCCCAACCCTAGTTACCACTCTAATATATCTTGCAATATCTGCGCATGCAAAGGTTCTGCGCGAGCCTCTTGTTCAATATTCTTGGGGTCTGAATCCGGCTCAAATTGATATGGCAATATTGATGCCATCCTTAACTATACCAGAGCAGACAAAACTTGCTGCTTTAGCAAGGGGCGTGGTAGTACTGAAACACTGTCTAAGCTGTTCGCCAATCACAACGCACTGGGGCAGCTAACCAATCACATCACATTTCGTTTTTCGGAAGGCGGGCCTTCATCAAACCCGGAACTAATCGAGACGTTTGTGCCAGGCTGGGGAGAAAGGTACTGTAATAATGTAAATTATTATGTCATGTCAAAATATACAAAATGTATACAAAAATTCATACTTTATACAGACCCCCGGCCTTACGTCCACGGACCCCTGGTTGAGAAACACTGTTCTAGTACACCCCCAAAACAAAATCAAGACTTTGTAAAAGAGCATAATAGGAAATAGCATATAATAGCAATAATAATGAAATTGAAGGGGGTCTGAATACTTTCCGTACCCACTGTATATCGTTACTGTAAAATAAAATTACTCATACATGTATCATGATATAAGATTCTGGTCATATCGCCCACCCCTAATATGAATTATTTTGGAGTAATCTGTTCTCTTCTATATGACTGCTTAAAATTAGGAAAACTATCTAAAACTCCTGAACAATTTCCTTACAATTTGTGTTAAAGAGTAATAACGAGAGACAAAAAAATATGCACAACTACTTTATATATGAAATAAAATTAAAAAAAATTTTTATTTTAATATGTGCTTAATATATCTGTATTTTCTACTATACAATATTTTAATCAAGACTTAAAACATGGTGTACGAGTAGTACAAGATAATTTAATACAAGAAAAAAACAAAATTATACATTTGTGTAAAGAACAGTCTAGTGATCTAGTGTCAAATCTGCTATTTTAAAAACTAATGGCAAATTGTGGGACATATTTTGTCCCATGTCTCAAGAATCAGTGCCATATTTTATTTGGGTCTCCCTAATAGACCTCTAATATAATAAATCAGATAAAAACTGCTTGTTCAGTTACGCATAAAAAAAAGAAAAAGTACTATTGCTTTGCTAATCTATTAGAGAGCTTGTCTATTTGTATTCAGTAGAGCAGATTCAAACAAATTACAGTAACACACCTGTTCCGCAGACCTCGCTATGTTACAAAATGGAGCATTTTGTATCTGACATGTTGACCTGCCAGAGCCAGGCTTGCTTTAATTACTTCTCTGTTTGGTGTGCCGTTAAACATTTGCATGATAATTTCTACCTCCTTTCTGTTGGCTGAGCCTTGCCAGATTGCCTCAGCATGAATTGAAACGGCTGCTCTTGCTATCAGAAGCTGGTTAAAGCCTAACTTAAACTAAAGTGCATCAGTTTCTTTACTCTCTCATGTCCAGGCTTAATATGCCAACTATAAGTAAGCCATTATTAAGCTGTTTCTCTGAAAAGGCTCTTTTAGAACATTGCTTGATTGTTTGAGGTTCCTGACCAGCCTGACACATTGGCTCAACCAATGGTGTGAGTTTGGGGTGGGACTATCTATTTTTGCAACCAATGACTCTTTTGGGTTTTTCCAAAAACCTAGTTCTTTTTCTGATGATAAAGTGGGTCAGCATTTGATTTTTAATCATCATACCGCTCCAAATGTTGACGTGTTAAAAAAGCATTTTCATTTTCTTTGTTTTTAAATCTGCACTGAATTTTTCTTCTGCTTTTTTGCCTTCTGCCAGGTCAACTGTCTCTCTCTGAGAATGAGTGTGAGGGGTGAGGAGGGACTCTTTGATGTGGTCTTTCATTTCCTGATAGTACTCGTTGTTCTTTTGCGACATTCACACCCCATCTCACCGCTAGTGAGCACTTGTGCAAGGTCTGAGCAGAAACCGTACGAGTGATCTTTTAAATGATTCTCATTTCCATTTCTTTAAGATCACGATTACCCTTAACAGAGAGATTTTTCCCCTAAAATATTGTAAGCGGGAGTTTCCGTTATGCGCAGTCATAGCTGATAAAATGTTTCATTTTCTGTTTTACAGTAATGTGGTACTTAATCTAAAAGTTCAGATCTAGTTTACACTTCCATAGCTATGTGTAATCAGAATTCGTATTTTTTTCTTTTCACTGTCCTTCTAGGAACAAGAGCACCAATTCATATAGACTTATTTAGACTAAAAACATTAGTCATTGTAGACAAATTGTTTTAACAGTAGTTTGACATGAACAAAAAAGCTGTAAAGGGGTAAAAGTACAGGCACTATCTGTTGAGTCCCAAGTCTAATAAAATGTTTAGTGGTTTCTATTTTTTTGTCTTGTGGAAATTTAGATTTAGATTTATAATATTGTAAAATATTTTAATATACATATTTACAATTGTAATAAAATATTTAATAAAAATATATTTTATAAAATATATGTTGCTATATTTTTCAGTCTTTTCATAATATTAAATACACATCTGGATATTTTTCACCCATGATCAGTGAAAAATCTTTTTCTCTTTTTTTTTTAGATCAGCCATTTTGACCAAACACTAGCAGAGCATAAGATTCAAAATGTTTAATGTAAGTAAAATGTAGTAAAACTTGAACACAAGCAAGATTTATATCATTTATATACTGCAGTGTTTACCTACATATATTATAATTTTGCCAAAGCTTTTACACACGGCCCTCTCACAATATATTGCTTTACAGATCTATCAATTTTGCCGCTCAGAAATGTTCACGCAATCATGCTGCACGTATCAGAAGTTCCGCGCTCCGCTCACACTACATGTGTACCACGCTCTGGCCCACCTCTTTCAACCGAGCCAGGGCCGGTGTTCTGACGATTTGTGCTGCTCGCTCAGATTGTGCTACCTCCCATTAAAAAGAACAAGTAGCACAAATCGATAGCGAAAAATGCTACCTATCAGATTGCGCTACCAGCATCTTATTCATGTGGTTTGAGGCTTTTTTTAATGTCCATACCTACCCCTGCCCTAAACCTACCCTTACCCTAAACTTACTTAGTTAAAACTAAGTTAGAACCATTGTTTTGAATTGATTCATTAAAATGGACACTTTATACTGATTCACAGAAATTATCTGGGGTACCAGCACCATCTTAAGCAAAAGATTCATACAAGAATGATTTTATGAGCGAATTGCACAAAAACTCTGCTTGTGTTTCAGAAGTAGGCCATTGGATATACTGTATTTCTGTACATCACGGTTTTGTTTTGTTCATGTCAAATTAAATATGGCATCTACCAGAAGGCCCACGACAGCTTTTCCCAGGGTTGGACTAATAGATGGGCTTGTTGTATTTGTGTGTGTGTCTCTGCAGGTCCCTCAGGTTACAGATGGAGAGACTACAGTGCCCTGGCTGTCATCTTGGCAGGAATGGCCTTTGGCTTCCATCATCTCTACCGGGTATGTGTCTTAAGTGCCACCAATATCCTATTGCTCAAAATGTGTTTATTATTCTGAGAACTCAAGCTTTTCCCAGCATTTCTACTTTTGTATGCATTTTCTACATTGATGTCGTGTAAATCACTCTGGTTACAGTCCAACGTCATCGGAATGAGCTCATCTCTACCCCTAGATCTTTCTTTGTTTTCTTTTTCGGAAAAACCCAGAGGCTGTACTCTCACTGCTTTCCAGCACTATCACGACACGATTTTGTACGTGGGCACAGATGGGTGCGTGGGCCCTCAGGCCCCGTCGAGTAAGGGAGAGACCCCGTTTCTCGGTGACTGTAAACCCACACTGCCCACAGGAGCATGTGGACTACATTACTGTGTTTTAAAAGAGAAAGAAAATGGAGCAGTGGCCTTTAAGAGAGTATTTACAATGTCATTGTATGGAACTCCCATGATGTCATGATTAGGAACGCATGTTTAGCTTCCTAAGCTTCCGTCTGCACTCGGCTACTTCAGTCAGTAAGCACACGCGCTCTATAAAGCCAGTCTCCATCTCCAGTAGCACACATGACTGCTCTTACTAATGTAGTGAGCCAAACCTATGTCATTTTAACAGAAAAAGTCATATTTTCCTTTGACACGAGTCTGTGTTTAACAATCCGAAACTGTAGCTTGTTTAGTACTTAAAGTGATGTTTTGAGAATGTGACGTCAACTCTCATTTTTAACAACTTTCATTTTCACTCATTCTAATTACTGGTGCTTGCTCAGGAAGCCATTACTGTTGCTATTGCTATTTCATTGTTGCTAGCATTATTTGAACAAAATTAAAAATTACTTAAATAGTAATAGTAACATACACCAAGTATTAAACTTGCAGTTTACTAGCACATAACTCATGCTCATGCTCATGCTCAAATAAATATAATAAATATACACTATTAGACAAAAGTTTTCGAACAGTAAGATTTTTTATGTTTTTTAAAGAATTCTCTTCTGCTTACCAAGCCTGCATTTATTTGATCCAAAATACAGCAAAAGCAGTAATATTGTGAAATATTTTACTATTTAAAATAACTGCTTTCTATTTGAATATATTTTAAAATCTCATTTATTCCTGTGATTTAAAAACTAAATTTTTAGCATCATTACTCCAGTCACATGATCCTTCAGAAATCATTGTAATATTTATATATTTATATAGATTTGCTGCTCAAAAAACATGTATTATTATTATTATTATTATTATGTTGAAAACTTAATAGAGTAGAATTTTTTCATGTTTCTTTAATGAATAGAACGTTCAAAAGAACAACATTTATCTGAAATAGAAATCTTTTGTAACATTATAAATGTCTTTATCATCACTTTTGATAAATTTAAAGCATCCTTGCTAAATAAAAGTATAAATTTTTTTTTTATTAATACTAATAAACCCCCCCCCCCAAAAAAATGTATACTGACTCCAACTTTTGAATGGTATAGTGTATATTTTTAAAACATAAAATATAAACATATTTCACAATATTACTGCTTTTGCTGTATTTTGGATAAAATAAATGCAGGCTTTGTGAGCAGAAGAGAATTATTTAAAAAACATGAAAATCTTACGGTTCAAAAAATTTTGACTGGTAGTGTAAATATAAATATAATAAATAATGAATACATTTTAAATTTTTTCAGCAGAGAGACATTAGATTGATCATAAGTGACAGTAAAGACTTTGATGTTGTTACAAAAAAAATAAAAATAAAAAAAGCATTGTTCTTTGGAACTTTCTATTAATTAAAAGAATACTGAGAAAAAATGTATCAGTTTCCAGGTATTTGAAAAATAATGTGTTTTTTGAACATTAAAGCATGTCAACATATTCTGTTACACCAAATACACAAAATAATGATCTTTTAAAAAGCCTCATATGACCCCTTTAAGCAGCACAGCTGTTTGAGATGATAAGAAATGTTTCTAGATCACCAAGTCTGCATTTTAGAATGATTTTTGAAGCATTATGTGACACTGAAGACTGGAGTAATAGCTGCTGAAAATTCAGCTATATCACAGGAGTAAATTACATTTTAAATATAGTGAAATAAAAAAAGTTATTTATTTAGTCTTATTTTATTTTATTTTAAATAAATGCATGATTGGTGAGCATAAGAGACCTTTCAAAAACATTTAAAAAATGTAATTTAATTTCAAAAACTTTAAAAATCTTACCAACTCTAAACTTTTGAATGGTAGTATACTACCCATGAACCATAAGCAAATTTGCTAAAAGATTGCACATAAGACTTCTGACATGATTAGTGATGACAATATACCTGTAATAGAGACTTTGGTGTGGGTTGTTTGACTAGAAATGTGCTAGCAACATACAAAAAAACCACTCGAAACACTTTAGCAACCAAGTGGTGATGCCTTGGCATCTGTTCGCAATACTCTTAGCATTATTAAATAGATTTTTGTGTAGGCAAGAAAAAGCAAAAACATAACTCTGCAACTCTCTTGCTCGCTCGTTTCTCACTTCCATTCTCTGTCTCTCGCTCACACACAAACAGTCCCCCGCGTGCGTCTCTGCTGTTCGGAGGATCTGTGCCCGTGGCTGGAGGTGCTGTTCCCTGGTGCGAGTGCTCTCTCACTGCTGTCATGTCAGAGGAACGGCTCACCGGTGCCACCATATGCCCTGGCCTCCTCCTCCACTTTATTTATGCTATAGAGCACATTGTAAACAGCGCTCACAGCAGCTCTCTTATTAACTACGCTGGTGTTGACACTCATTCTGATTTTTTCAACTTAAAAGTGTTTATTGCTTATGCCGGTGTCAACGGTTGCGCCGCTGTGAAAACCTGTTAAGGCCAACTGTTTTCCAGACGGAGAGCCTGCACACGCACATTACACTTTACAGCACCCAGCTATTCACCAAATGCCATGTTAATCACCCCATCTATGTGCTGTTTGTTTGTCTGGGGAAACAAATCGACGCGTGCGTTTGGAAATAAAACAACGATGGTGTGAGAACCGGCAGCTAGTGGAAGCGCTAGCCGTCTGACCTTTGCCGCTCATTCTCAGTGTTTGGAGATGTTGTTCTACAAGGCTTAAACTCTTGACGAGCAATTGTCCTCAGAAGGTGACATGTTCAAATGGAGAAGCCAGCCTGTGGGCTAAAAGACTTAATGATGTTGAACCCAGAGTCATGCCCCGATGCTTAATTCTTGGCCTCTGTGTCAGCCATTGAGGCAAATTGCTCTGGATGAAGTGAGAAAACCACAAGACTTTTGAGAGGGATTAAAAAAAACAAAAGGTCTTGTTTTTTTTTCAGCATGAATGCAGGCCTATTAATCATACTTCATATAATGATGTTTTATCTGCTGTTGCCAAACACAATACTGAACTTGATACCGTGAAATCAAACACAAACACTAGTATTGTTTAGATTTTTCCCTTCTTTTTATTTTTTTCTCCTTGCTTAATGTCCTATTATACTGAAATACCTTAATATTTAATAAAACATTCTGTCTTTATCTGGCCTCTCTTAAATACAGCTTTTTTAGTTCTTTATTTTAGGGAAATATTTAGTTTGATGGGTGACTGTTATATAAATTAGGGTGTATCTAATATTCTTTCTTAAAATTTGTAGTTGTGTTTTATGTAATTTGCTCAGGATTGTCAAAATATTGACCCTGATAACATGTAAAATAGGCAGTACATTTATTTTTTAAAGAAATTAATTCTTTAAGCTTTGAAATTGATAAAACATTGAAAGTAAAGGCGTTTATGATGTTACAAGGGTTGTAATTAAATGCTGTTCTTTTTTTAATTTTCTATTCAGCAACAAATTGTGAAACATTTAATGTTTTTCACAAAAATATTAAGCAGCTGTTTTCAACATTGATAATAATTAAAAAATAATAATTTGAGCACCAAAACAGCATATTATAATAATTTCTGAAAGATCATGTGACACTGAAGACTGGAGTAATGGCTGCTGAAAATTCAGCTTCGCCATCACAGGAATAAATTTTTTAAAATACAGTAAAATAGTAAACTACAAAATTTTAAATTGTAAAAAATATTTCGCAAGTTTTCTTACCAAACAAATGTTGTAAAGCTTTCAAAAAATAAATCATGACATTTTATGACTACAAGAGAAGCCTTCTGTGAGGGTTTTAGTTGAGTTTTGGTTTGACTACGCTAACACTAATAGATTAGCCCTTTGTCTATTTGTGAGTGCGTCCTGGTCCACTGGCCTGTTTTCCCTGTTCCTGAGTGGAATTCTAATAGTGTGCCATGTTTTTAATTGCAGAAATACATCCTTCCCCTCATTATGGGCAGCAAAGAGGACAAGGAGCATCTGCAGCGGATCGAGAGCAACATCGCGGAAATGAGTGGCACGCTGACACAGACAGGTGAAGATTAATATCTTCATCGCTTTTTCCTCCTTAACATTTTCCTTCATTTATCTGTCGCCAAAATCTGCTCACATTTTACAAATGACGGTCCTGTCATTTTGCTTTAATTTGAAATTGCTTGTTTACTGTCAGCTCAGCTTCAATTAATTACGTTTCGCTGAAAAGCTCTTAACCTCAGAATATTAATGAGGGGAAGAGGAATGACAGCGTTTCTTTTCTTTTTTTTTTGCCGCCTTAACTGCATGGCAAGAAAGTTCATTTTAATTTTCGGCGTGGTGGTGTGGCTCCCCGGTTGGGCCCGGAGCGCGATGGTGATTAAGTGTGTGGTGACAGGTGCGTCCTCCCGCCTTGGACAGGTGAGGAATCTCAGCTAGTCTGTCAGAGAGGGATGCCTCTCCTCCTCTCTCCTCCCCCTCTCTTTACCCACTACGCAGCCGGTGTAATTAAACATCCCGGCAACCATGAAATCGGGACACTTCCCGAAGAAACTTTGTCTCGTTAGGGCCGCAGTCGACTTGCAGCTGGGTGGCTCCTTTTGTGTAAATGACAATTCACTCTTGCAGTGTTTTATTTGTTTATTTATTTTAAAGAAAGACAGTGCAGGACAACTCGTGCAGTTTATTTTCTTACAGTTTTTACAAAGCAGTGCTCTGGTTAAGGTTTTGTTCTAAACTTTCACAGTTAATTTGAACTGAATTACTTCACATGAAACTCTAAGGGTTTTTTAGTAGATCATTTCAGATTTTTCTGTGCTTTATTTTTATTTTTTTTTAAATCTAATTGTAATATCTATTGTTTTGAAACTTAAAAAAGAAGTGACTATAGAATATTCGCTATTCAAAATCTAACAGACAAGTTAGACAAGTTTTACATGCTGAAATGCAATTGGTCTTTTTTCTTATGTCTATTTGCATACGTAATAGATGGTATTGTCTTCCTTACATATATTTAACCTATAAAAATAGGGATGCACCAGTATTCAAATTTTTGTCTTATACAGATAAGCTGATAATTCTCAATAACAATATCAAAATTATTATTTTGTATAAATACGTTAAAAATAAAAGGCAGTTAGTTTAAAATAACGTTCAGTATTAAAAATAGATATTCACTTTGAGATGTGTAAAGATAACATTTAACTGTGTAATTCATTTATTAATGTTTTTGAAGATGAAGTGAGCATTAGACTAGCGTAAAGGTCATTTTGATGACTGAATTTCCACCAGGCTTTTTTTTTTTTTTTTCGTATGATTGAAGTCCTTTATTTCTAAGTGGCATACATTCTAAAAGCAAGATTTATTTTATTTTATTTCTATAAAGCAATGTTTCCTGCACCATTGTTTAGTGCCACAGTAAATGGAATCATATTACATATGATCATTTTGCATATAATAACATTTTATTTTCACTTGTAAACTTGTAATGTGTAATGAGTAAAAGGTGTTCAGTACTGTTAGAAAATACCTCCCCCAGCTGCCTAACATTTTTCTGCTACAAAAACTTGTAAGTATTTGTTGTTTTCAGTCTAGGCGATTACCGTGTAAACATTTGAATTTTGAAAATTGTTGATGTAGAACACACAGTCTATAAAGGTGAAACAGTACATGCAAAGCAGGCACTCGTGATATATAATAGACAAAAGACTTCTTGTTATTTATGAAGTAAACTTTGTCAGAGTATGCTTGCCATTTAGCCATATTATTATTTGCCTCATAAAACCATGGAAATGATCTGGATCTATGCATGGATTTCTGATCTCAGCGTAGTCTTCTGTTATGCATATAGTATTGTTTTCATTATCCAGGAGATCAAAATAAGCAAATTTGGGGCATATGGGATAAAGGCGAGTGATTTTAGTCAGCTGCGTCTCTGCATTACATTGCCCGTTTTTGGTTTGGGGAGGGTGACTGAAAGGCCAGTCGATTGTGAGCCATTGCGTGCAAGCTCGATGTGGGTTTCTTTATCTGATTATCAAATGAGCCTCTTCATTGCCATTTTGGTTCATCTATGCAAAAAAACCCTCCTTTGTGTTACGCTGCCTGTCTGGCCCTCATTTTGTTTGGTTTTTAGCAGGATTCTTGTTTTGTTTAGCGTCACATTCAGATTCAGATGATAAGAATATTTATATTGTTCCGGGCTGAAGCTGCTTTTCATATTTCCTTTGTGAAACACTTGTTCCTGACAATCTCTTCCCCCCCCCTCGCTCCTTCCCTCCGCCACTCTCTCGTTTTCTTCTGTAAGAGCTGTACCTACCCCCAGTCACTCAGTCAGTCACGCCGCTGATCTAATTTGCTGTGGCTGCAGTAGCCAAGTTGCTATTGTAGTTAATGACTGTTTCAGTTAACAGTTTGGGAGAGGGTTGCAATTACGGAGTGAGTTTCCCCCTCTTCTCACAACGTGAGTAATAGCAAGTGACTGCCGCTCTTGCCAATTGCCCGCACTCCTTTGTTAAAGTTCGTGTATTTCTCTCGTGCCAAGTGCATTGGAATGATGTATTCCTTTGAATGTGGCTCCATTACTCCTGCAGCCTTTGAGTGTAGGCCTTGACTCCCATTATGATTTCCCAACAACTTTCCACACGCAATTAATGAACAGGTCTTGGAAGCATTTTGTCGCATGCGCGCGCTCACACTCGTGCCGGCTGTAATGGAATTGCGCTAGCTGCTTGGTCTCTTTGTCTGTGGAGAGCATATTGGTGACCAGCTGGCCAATAAAGGCTCAGACAGGCCCGGACATATGCAGTGTACATTATATTGAGGGATTTACTAAATAATTTACGCTATACACACTGTCTGCCTCCTCACAGCAGCTGCGAAGCCACTTGCAGGATCTCAAATTCGGCCAATTGTTTTCTCCAAAGAGAACGTTTGTGGAAACCCGAGACACGCTAAATGGAGGCATTATTTATTATGTTTTGAGTATGAAGCGAGTGTTGTGGGTTTAGAGGGCTGGTGCAGTTGCTGCTCGTTCTCAGTGTATTAATATTGTTGGAATTGCTGTTGACGTAAGCTGTGGTGGCATTCCTGCTTAGAACACATTTTTGCTTTATTTTAGACCTTTAAGCCGTTTTATTCATAGTTATAGTTCAGAGATAACAGGAAATGACAGGCAGAAAAGGATAGAATGATGTTGCGAGCTGATTTCAAACCTTCGTCGCCCATTTGAGCACCATGGCTTAATGTAATCTCTAACCATGTGCTTCTACAGAATATTTGAAAACTTTAAATGTGATGTTCAATGCATCCATGATCACATATAAACTCAGATCTATAATTAGTAGTAGTTTTTCTTCTTTCTTTAAAAGGGGTAGATCACTCGAAAATAACAATTCTGTCATCATTTACTTGTTCTGAATTCCATATTTTGTAGCATTATGATTGATTTGTCTAGGGACTGGAATGTAAAAGCTGAAAATTGAAGCACACATTTAGACTTGTAATGTATGAACCACACAAGCAGGTTTGCATGTGCATTCTGCGAAATACTTCCTTTTGTGTGCCACAGAAATAGAAAAATCATACTAGTTTGGAACAACATGAGGGTAAATGATGGCAAAATGTAATTATTTCAGTTAAAATATGTTTTGGAGAAAGTTAATACATCAGATGTCAGATCTCTCGTTAATGTTAATACAGTCATCTGAAAGGACGAGTTTGAATCATCATTATTATTCAGCTAGGGAAAACGGTTCAGTGTCTGTTATTCTGTAAGTATTCACCTAATGAGACAGACAAAGACTGCGAGAGAAAGAAACATGTAACAGCTCTTAAGCAGAAAGTGGAAAGGCTGTTTCTATGAAAGGAGAGCCCTGGAACTGTGCGTCGGAGAGCCAACAGTCGGCAGCTAATAATATCTGCTGATGTTAATCCAATTAGAGTTGATTTAACACTTTACAGAGCATGATTTATAGAGGCGTTTATTGGTTTTCTGTAACATAATCAGTTTGGAAACTTAATGCATTGTTTGGGAATGCATGTGTGACTGGAAACAGGGGGAGAGCAACTTGTGCTCTGGGTTATTTGAAATGATACCCCCATTAATAACACCAACTCTGGCCCTGCTAGGGCTGTTTTTCTTGGGCTTTCTCTAATCCTCGGGACCAGCACAATCTGACAATAATTCAATCTTCAGAGAGGGAGGAAAATGAGCTGTATTTAGTAAGATTAGTGAGGACAGTAGTGTCTAGCCCTCCTGCCTCCCAAATGAACGGCTTTTTTTCCATCTGGTTGATTGTTTGGAGAGTTCGATAGAGCCAGCGTTTCAAACCCATGCTAATGGAGGTTAAGAGACCCTGATTTGATATAAGAGCAGACGTAGGTGATTAATCTTGTACAAATAGAGGTGTCTTATATTACTGATTGAGCTAAAGGCTAAATCAAAGAGAAAACCACTGCATGTTGATCGTCGGTAATGCTTTCAAACAAACAAATACGTCGGTTAGCGCAGGATCGCGACTAAAGCTGCCATATCCTTGCTGGTGAAATTCTGGTAATTGTTTTGGGTGTAGTCTTATCTTCATTTGTGTGTTTTTGGATGCAGTCACCCAGTTGCAGATGACCCTGGCTTCAGTGCAGGAGCTGCTGGTCCAGCAACAGAAGAAAATACAGGAGCTGACACAAGAGCTGGCTAACTCGCAGGTAACACTTGCCACAATGGTAAACAGAGGGATCTAATGAAGTCAAACAATAGTTTTATGTGAATAACAAGGCAGAATTGAAGTTCACTGATAATCTTCCCCTTCACCACAGCTCTTAAACTTAAATTCAAATAACATGCAGCAAGGCATATTGCATCAAGTTTGACATCAGTAAGACACAAGAACTTGTGTCATTTGACATCATTGATGTTAAACCTGGTTTGTTAATTTTTGAGTTAAACGTAAGTGCAAATGAGATTTGAGAGATGTGGCGGAAGGCAAAGTACCCTTTAAATAACGATTTTAGGCCTGTTGTACATAAAGCCTACATTGGTGTAAAAAAATGGATTTGGAACGAAATGAGGGTGACTACTTAGGATGGGTTAAATGCAGAGCACTAATTCTGAGTATGGGTCACGTCACTTTCACTTTCTAAATGGCATCATTATTTGTTTTGGGTGAGGTGACCCTTTAAAATTTGTCCAGTAGTGCTGTACTTAAGTTTCCATATGGGGTTTGATTCAACAGAAGTGACTGGAAAACAAACAAACAAACAAATCATACAATCTGAACATTCCTCTAGTTTTTGACACATTTTATTACAGACCTTATGTAAGGAAAGAATGTGATCGTTTATGGTGCATGTGAGTTTGAGCATGTGTCAGTGTTTTTTTGTTGCATAGACATCATCAGAGAAAATAATTCCATGTACATTACGTAAGCACTAGTTTTAAACTGCGTAATCAACAGGTCAGAAATGCATAATTTGCCTTTCATCCTCTGAAATACCTTAGATACAGACATCACAGCTAAAACGTAAAAAGGAAGCATAAAAAAAAAAAACTTGAGGAATTTGGTTGTCTAAAATGGTTGCATTCCTCCCTGGTTATGTAATTTCTCTCAGAGATATTATGAATGATAGTCTTTACTTGTTTTGTTGATCTGTTCAGTTTAAATAAAGCCCTCAGTGTGCATTTTCATAAGGCCCTTTGCGGCGCTCTGTTTCAGGGGCACATCCTCTATTAAACAAGGCCACTTTGAGTTTAAAACAACACAGGGCATTTTTCAGTGACACAGACTGATGCTTCACCCTGATGTGAATATTAGTGGTGACAGAACTCATATGCTGCTCAGAAGAGAAAAATGTGCATCAGCAGGACAAGGCATGTCATGGGAGCTCCATAAAGAACATGTACGGCCATCTCCAGAACGCTCAAGCAAGCCATCTAGGGACAGGACGTGAACCCACGCTGACGCCCCCTCCTGATCTCTCCTGTATCTGTCATTTGCTTTCTGCTAATTTCATCTGGACTGAAACCTCATTTAACCCCCACCCATCCTGCAACTAAGAGAAGGACCAGTAGGATTTTCATTGAGCCCCAACTTAGAGGCCTGTCAATTAAAGAATTACGGAGGAAGGATACTTTTATTGTTCATAAATAATGCTTGGGAATGTTGCCTATACAGTTAGTTTGTATACATTTTGTGTATTGTTCATAATAATAGTTTTTAAGTTTAGCTGGTTCATGAAGCTGCAGGGCTGTGTGATGAAGGAGGATTTCCCATCATCTGTGGCAGCACATAAAAAGTAAATTACCGGTTAAAAGTATCAATTATGTCCTCTATGTGCTATGTTTCATTTTGTTTGTACTAGCAAATAAAATCACTTCAATATATATATATATATATATATATATTGAAGTGATTTTATTCTATTGATATTCTTTCTATAATATTTAAATATTTTTAAAATATAAAACAAATATATTTATAAAAAGAATATATATTATTAGTTATTTAAAGTAGTAAATATATATAGATTATGTAGTAATTAGTAGTAAATATATAGGATATATAGTCATTTTTATTGGTTAAAAAATATTGTTTTTCCACTTTTGAGAAACTAACAAAAGCTAAATGAATGGATGAATTAATTATCTAAAATATAAACAAATATTTTTAACATTTAAACAAACATAAAACAATTAAAAAATTGTATTATGTGTATTATTAAATATATTTTAACAAGTAAATATATAATAAACAAATTATATATAGCTATTTTTATTGGTTTTCACTTTTGAGGAACATTAACAAAAGCTCATTTATTTATTTATTTTAACCATTATGCCACACAACCCACAGTTGATAGCCAACAGAAAAAGAATAAAGAATGCACAGAAAAATACAGAAAGTAGTCATCTTTGTAATTCGTCTATTGTGGCAGTGCTGATGTTGTTGTCTTTATCACATGCTAATTTAATGCATTATGATGTCATTATCTTTCAGAAGAATGTTCTTGATGATACGGTCTTCAAATCCTTTCTGAAGACATGTGCTTATTATCTATAAAGAATAGTCATCTGAGAGAAATCGCCTGCTGAAAACACATTGCCATACCTCAGAATGTAAAACTCTACGTACTTTGTATCTTACGATACTGCGATAAATCATCTCGTAACAGCTCCAAAAAGCGCTTTGGAATCGCAACTGAGGGCATGTTTTATGTCCACAGCTTGTTAAGCACATGGGTGTTTTACTGAAGCATCTGGATCCCGTAGGAAAACATATGCAAACACATCTGGCCTGGCAACAAATTGAAGTGAAAATATAAATCTCTCACCCTTCTGAAGTTTGCAAGAATTGCAGACTCACCACTACACAACACCACCCCCCACCCCCCCCACCCCCAGCCTCCTTCCGTCGCCCTCTTGA